TCAAATCTCTTTCATAATTTCTCACATCGGTCTCAATGCATCCAATTCTATGAAAACCTCTGCTAGAATTTTCAAAGAAGGCCATTTGCTTATTTGTTGGAATGTTCACCTCTCCAAATTGCTTCATAAAAGTCTTTTTCGCACTTGTTACCTCACGGTTTCCCCTTAAAAAATGAGTTCTACTCGGTGAAGTAATTGTATGATTATGTTCTTCCACGAACTTGTAGACACTCCATATGCCAATGTTTTTGTCTAATTTCAAGCGAATCTAGGCCTTACAATTTGTTCTAATTGTACCACATCGTCGAATTTCCATCGATTTGCTCTTTAACACTCCTTCTTTCGAACAAACATAACTTTTGGAAATTAACTCTCTATCCTTCCCATAATTTGTTGTGCTATTACAAATATCAAAACCTCCAGCCTTTCCGTAATTTCTGTAGAATTTTTCAGCGTCCTCTAATTTGTCGAAAGTCATTCCTATTTTTGGTTTTAAGTGCTCATCAACAATTGGTACAATTAAGTTATCTAACTGAGAGAATTGTTCTTCAACAACATGGGAGCAACCCTCTTCAGTTTCCATTGGATCAAACATCAAGAATAATATTTACCTACAAAAATAAACATCAAGAACAAACATCAAGAACAAACCATCAAAGACCACTGTGCACAAAAATAAACAAATGAATCCACATGAGACAAGAACAAACATGCTTATATATATATTTGACAGTAAACAGTAAACACCCGCAAATTGGAAGTGCATTGGACCCAAACCCCCGCAAAAACTAATATGTGACTTGGTACCACACTACCAAAGTAAAGAAGTTGCATATGATGCTATTTTTACATATGCAAACTAAAGTTACAACAACTTAAATCCGTGTGAGCTACAATATGTCAGAAACCAATTCCTCATACACTATAATACCTTGCTCTCTCGTATATAAAGTTTCAGGTAACTATGGTCAGCTAGCACTACGAACGTTTTTACCAACTTGGGTTCAACTCGAATTGGGATGAAAATCGATGAGTTGAATGGATTATTCAATTGGACAAAATTTGAAGATCGACGAGATCGACTATTAGGCCTCAATTGGACAAAATCGATGAGTTGAATGGATTATTCAGGTAACTATGGTCAGCTAGCACTACGAATGTTAGGCCTCAAATTCTACAGAAAAGAAATCGATGAGTTGAATGGATTATTAAATTGGACACAATTTGAATTATAGAACACAACTAATCAAACAGCTAATTTAGGTCCAACCTGGAGCTTGTTCAGTGCCGAAAACTTCTCAGTGGAGCAAAGAGGAGAGGAGGGGTTGGGGAGCTCGACGGCGAGATCACGGGGGTGAAGACCGGCGGCGACGGGGCTCGCGGGCTTGGCTCCGACGGAGGCGAAGACGCGGCGCGAATGGGCTCGCGGGCTAGCTCCGACGACTGGTGAGGACGGGCGGACAGAGCTGGCGGCGATATGAGAGGGAAGCGGTAGGAGAGGTCGGAGTCGTATTCTGTAGTTTGGGTCGGTAGAAGAGAGAGGTGGAGGTTTGTCGAGCTCGCGTTGAGATCGGCGGAGTGAGAGATGAATGTCGGAGAGGAGCTCTGAGGGCTGAGATTCAATGGAGGAGAAGATGAGAAGGATCTTGGAGGGAGGAGGATTGGCTTCTGGAGAGAGGTTTGGTCTGTCGAGGGTACGGGGAAGAAGAGAGGTGAGGGAGAGTAGAGGGTCAGTAACTGGGAATTAGGATGAAATTCTCAGAATCGCACGCGTCACAAGTCAATTCACTCAAATCCAACGACTCCAGAGCTGTAGCGCACTGTTGTTTTTTTTCTGGTGCGAAGAAGTTTCAAGCCATCGAAAACTTTTCTCTCTCTCTCTCTCCTCTATATAATATATATATATATAATATATAGTAATATATATTATATATATATATATACTATATATATAATATATGGTAATGTTTTCCTAATGGTGACACCTTAGATTCCCGCCTAAGGACGCGGCCTAAAATCACATCATTCTCTTTTTTTTACGATCCGCTCCGTTAAACTTGATCTACACGTTCTTAAATCCAAACACATTAATTTTGGGGTGAACTCATCATGTTTTGACCCTTCGTTGAGCCGTGCAAAAAGTTCTATTCATTCGAAACCGTTAAAATTGCGGTGAGTAGATGAAGGGTCAAAACACGACGGGTTCACCTCAAAATTGATGTGTTTGGATTTAAGAACGTGTAGATCAAGTTCAACGGAGCGGATCGTAAAAAAAGGAATGATGTGATTTTAGACCGCGTTCTTAGGTGAGAATCTAAGGTGTCACCTTAGGAAAATATTTCCATATATATATATAATATATATATATATATATATATATATATTATATATATAATATATATATATATATATATATATATAATATATATATATATATATATATATAATATATATATATATATAATATGATATATATGTGGGAGCCTAGGGTGTCACCTTAGATTCAGCTTTCCAATATAGGGAAAGTGAATCTAAGGTGACACCTAGTCTCCCACCTAAGGAACGTCGCCTTAAAATCACGTTATTAAACCTAATTTTTTGTGATCCGGCTCCCGTTGAACTTGATCTACACGTTGCTTAAACCGCACGCA